TCATAAAATAATTGATAATTTAAAAGAAATTTCGAGGAAAAAAAGTGACACCCCACGGTCAAGGTTGGACGCAACACCACATCCGGCAACGCGGAGTTGCCCAACTACTACAAAAGAAAGGAAGGAAAGAAGAGAACGAAGGAAAACAGAAGTAGGGAAAAACAGAGAGAGGGGAGAAAAAAGAGAAGAGGTGAGATTTTACGTAAGGGCATGTGCTAATTATAGAAGTTCTCTTCTACATGGAGTTGGTTCAAGGGGAAGAGACAAGACCAATTTGTCAAGTTTAAATATCTAAATTTCATATCTTCCTGTTTTTTCCCTTTCATTGTTGCAACCTCAACAACTCTTTCACTTTTCTTATCCTTCCTCCATATTTCTTCCTTTTGCAATTGGAGCTCCGCATCCGCTGAAGGTCTGCCGTGGACGCCACTGGTGAGGCTTTGTATATCCTTTTTCGATCTTTCCTTAAATTAAATTTTTTTTTTTACCACCATATATTGCCTGCGGTCAAGCTAGAGGAGCATTGCCTGTTTTTAGAAAATAAGTTTTGATTTACACAAGATGTTGATTAATTACGACTTTGGTTTTTTCCTTTCTAGTTCTGGTGCCCAAGGTTACGACTTTGATTTGGACATGGACTCGTTCTACATGGAACCGGTCGACTCGTTCTACATGGAACCGGTCGACTCGTTCTACATGCAGCCGGTCGACCCGTACGACAATCTGCCTCTGCTTCAGGAGCTCAAATATTATTTGCAGCAAATGAAAGACGTTACAATGATACTACTTTTAAGCCTCTCGTTGCAAGTCTTCCTAGTACTTGTTGCCCCCTTGAGAAAATCCACAGGCAAAAAATGTCTGCTCTTGATTATATGGTCTGCTTACATGCTTGCCCAATGGATTGCTACTTTTGGTGTTGCCTTCATCATTCAAAACCTCGATGACGAACTAGAGTATGTCAGTAGTGCTGCGCTCTCATGTTGGGCTTCCTTTCTCTTGCTACACCTTAGCTACACCAATAACATTACTGCTTTTGCTCTGGAAACTAAAGAGTGGCTAAGTCATATGTATCGCCTCATTTTCCAATTTGTAGCCACTCTTTTTGTCTTGGTTCTGTTATTTCCAAGTCCATCACGTTCGTCGTTTTCAAGTATACCAGCAATTCTCGTATTTATTGCAGCAGTGATCAAGAATGCTGAGAGGACGTCTGCTCTATATCTTGCGAGTCAGGACAGGTTCAAGAAACCAAAGGAGGAAAATCAACACCACACAACTGCTGAGATTGCGATGAAGATAGGTGGAGTACTAGATGACTTAGAAGTTATTCAATATGCTTATTACAGCTACAAAATTTGTAGGGGACTCGTGTTCGATCAAATTTACAACTTCAGGGAGCAAACTCAAATTCCAGAACTCTTCTCCTCAATAGAAGCAGAAAACGCTTTAAGGTTAATAGAGGTTGAGGTCAACTATTTCTCTGAGATTCTCCGAACAAAGTCTGAATTCGTGCATTCAGTGATAGGATATGTTTGTCGATTTCTGGCCTTTGGGTTAATTGCAACTGCCTTGGTACGGTTCCAGTCAGAATTGGAGCCGTCTGACTCTTCGAAACCCAATCTTCATATTATCACGACAAATAGTTTATTCATCTGGGCCATATTCCAAGAAGTGATGACTTTCATCATGGCGGTTTTGTCTGATTGGACATTTGCAGCTCTTATTCCTGATGCAAGGTTGCGTGAGAAGAACTCATGTATTTCCAAGGTAAAACGACTTGTGTATTCAATTCTCTGTTATTTCCTTGTTCTGAAAAGGCCCTCGTGGTACCCCTGTGAATGTGAAGTCAAGCATGAGCATGAAGTTCTAGCCACACCAATTTTACTTCGCCGGTGGTCAGGCTCTATCTCAACGTACAACTTGATCGGATATTGCTTGAAATGTTGTCCAACCAGAATCCATTACCACAAAAGAGATTGCCTTAGCATTCTGATTAACAAAATCATTCATTTGTCTGGTTTTGTTATCAACGTTTTATCCCCTGAAGCTGCAGCAGACCTCATCAAAAAAGCTAGTAAATATCTGGGCAAACACAAGGCCTTTTCGTGGCCAGGCGTTATCTTTGCCAGGGGAATTTGGTGGTTTTGGAGCTTAATCATCAAGTGTTTGTGCTTCAT